AGCAGGGAGCCCGATGCGGGACTCGATCCCAGGACTCCAGGATCATGACCTGAGCCGAAGGCAGTCGCTTAACCAACTGAGCCACCCAGGCGCCCTACTCAAGATCAAGATTTAAATGTTAATCTCATTTTTAAAATAGCTTAGAGCAACATCCAAACTGGGGTTTGACCAAATATCCGAGTACTGTGGCCTAGGCTAGTGGACACATCACAGGGCCCAATTCTGTTCTTCTGTGTATGGCTATCCAGTTGTCCCAGCATCATTTGTTAAAGAGACTAACTTCCTCATTGAATGGTCTTGGCCCCCTTATCAAAAATCAGTTGGCTATAGATATTTGACTTATTTCTGTTGTCTTGATTTTTTCCTGTCAGTCTATCCTTATGACAGTACCACACTTTTGATTATCATAACTTTGTATTAAGTTCAGAAATCGAGACATACGAGTTCTCCAACTTTGTTTTTCTTTTTCAATATTGTTTGGGCTATTCAAGGCCCATTGTGGTTCCATATGAATTTGAGGATCTTTTCCATTTCTGCAAAAAAAAGAAAAGGCCAAAGTAGTTTTTATAGGAAATGTATGGAATCTTTATATAACTTTGGGGAGTAGCGCCATCTTAACTATAGTAAGCCTTCCAATCCATGAACATGGGCTATCTTTTCATTTAATTGGGTCTTTAATTGTTTTCAGGAGTGTTTTATAGTTTTCAGTGTACATGTTTTCCACTTCCTTGGTTAAATTTACTCCTAGGTACTTTTTTCTTTTGGATGTTATTGGAAATCTCTTCTTTAAAATAATATTTAATTACATACGATGGAATATTATTCAGTCTTAAAAAAAAAGGAATGAAGTTCCTACATGCCATACGGATGAACCATGAAAACATGATGCTCAGTGAAATAACCCAGGCACAAAAGGACAAATATTGTATGATTCAATTTATATGAGGTCCCTAGAGGAGTCAAACTCATAGAGAAAAAGTAGACTAGAGGGTACCAGGGATGGGGGGAGGGAGCGGGGAGTTGGTGTTGTGATGGGAAAATTCTGGAGATGGTGGTGGTGGTGGTGAATGTGAATGTGTTTAACACATTGTGTTAAACAATGTGAATGTGTTTAACGCCAATGATGTACATTCAAAAAGGGTGAAAGTGGTCAATTTTGTGTTATGTCTATTTTACCACACAAAAAAAGTTAACATTTATTGCTTTGATTCTGTTTACAAAAGTTATAGCTATCATGTTAAGAAGTCT